GAAATATAGTTTTAACACCAAGCTAATCAGAAATCTTTAACATGACCCAATTAACTAACGGAGTCTAATACACAATAAACTACAGGTAAAAAATCAGAATCTGGAAAGTTCGTTTGGATGATAAGTCATAGTTGATGCAAGTTTCTTTTAGGTTTCGTTATGGAAGTTATTGTGTGAAATATCTTGAACTGATATTTCAAAGGCGGTCAAGACTCACCACTATTCTTTAACCTTGGCTTACAATGTATGAACACCACAATCTTATCAGGTAAAGACCTTAGGGGTGATGTCAAGTGTGACCTTTGACCTTTAGCCTTGACCGATCACCACCAAAAACGATTCGATTGTATACCTTGGTGGGGGTGATGCTATTGTATGAATATAAACTCAATTTGTCTAAGGCTCATAACCTAACCTGTACACAATGCTTTCTTCCCAAAGTGGTCAAGGTGACATTTGAACTTTAACTGAACTGATGACCACTCAAATATAATCAGGTGTATACTGTGGTTGGGTGATGTTATAGTGCGAATACGAAGAAATGTATCGATGGGTTCGTGATGCTTCTTGTAGACATGGTTATCACGTGCGCTCGAAGAGACAATGTGATGACTGATATACCTGTTTACCTAAGTGAGGTATATGTTGTCATAAAAATGAGAAGCGTATGGTTTTGAGCAATAAATCAGCGAATTTCATGAAATATACCTCAAACACAAAGACTGAACGAATTGGAGAACGAAGTGGACTTTGTCAGGCGGTTTGAAACATTTTGATGGGACGACGACACGTATCAACCGTTACTTTGGAAGTCAATTGATTAACTGTGTCAGAAGACACTCAACAACTTATAACATCTTTTGAAACAGATTAAAGTCCTGATATTCTCCTTTCTCAAATATGGGATCGATTTCTTTCTTTCTCTCGGATGGCAGATATGTAATGATATGTAATGCTCCAATAATTGCTAAAAGTAGGAGTCGCGATGTCCTTCTCTTGGCAGTATTGAAGAAGCCGATACCACACTAATTCCTGACACAATTGATAAACATACATTTGAAAGTCGATTCAAGCAAATAGAATTGCTTGTCGAGACACTACCATTCTACTGTTCGCTTTTGCTTTTGGCGTTCGGATGACTATTGCAATTACTAAGTAGTGAAAGAGTTATCCTGCGCAGAAATTGAACAAGGATATAACATTATAACATTTCTTCTTTGACGACCATATTGCACTACCAAACGTACAAAATATGTAGGGCTTCAAATTTTGTGAAAATTCGTAAAAATAGCAATTTTCATTCAAAAGTGCAAAAATTGATATTTAGACCTCAGAGTAATATGTAGACTATACCAGGGTGAGTTAGGGTTTCATGTACCTTTGAAGAGAATTTTCCATTTCTAGATAGTTCTAACCCCCCCCCCCCCCCCCCCCTTTGTTTACTTTAATTTGGGTTTCGATATTGTATTACGAAAGTAAATATATATTGGAATTACGTAACTGCATGTACTGAAGGTATATAACTACAACTCCCATAGTCGAATTGGTTGACCAGACAATAATATTTTGATTGCAGTTAATGGCATATTGATTCTTCAAAGAACATTATGACACATTTATCAGACTTTAAGGATTATGTGCCTCGTAAATATTCATTCATTCATATAATTAGTACATTCAATTATCTAACTGCGTTGTTAAATGCAATTTTGATAAAACATGCCATATTGATTAAGTTCATGCTATTCGCATGGGAAATATTGTCATTATTGAATCATCACCACACAAATGTCATTTTTGTCAATTAGCAATAAACAAGAAAAAAAACACGAGACTGTAAAAATGTACACGTAATCAATTCAAGAGCAATTAAAATATTTCACCGATATTGGTATGTGACTGCATTGGTATGTGACAACATTGTGACAACATTGGTATGTGACAACATTATGACAACATTGTGACAACATTGGTATGTGACAATATTGTGACAACATTGGTAGGTGACAACATTGTGACAACATTGGTATGTGACTACATTGGTATGTGACGTCATTGGTATGTGACTACATTGGTATGTGACGTCATTGGTATGTGACGTCATTGGTATGTGACAACATTGGAATGTGACAACATTGTGACAACATTGGTATGTGACTACATTGGTATGTGACGTCATTGGTATGTGACGTCATTGGTATGTGACGTCATTGGTATGTGACAACATTGGTATGTGACAACATTGTGACAACATTGGTATGTGACAACATTGGTATGTGACAACATTGGTATGTGACAACATTTGTGTGTGACTACATTGGTATGTGACCACATTGGTATGGTAACTATATTGGTATGAGACTACATTGGTATGTGACTACATTGGTATGTGGCAACATTGGTATCTGACAACATTGGTATGTGACGTCATTGGTATGTGACAACGTTGTAACAACATTGGTATGTGACTACATTGGTATGTGACTACATTGGTATGTGACAACATTGGTATGTGACTACATTGGTATGTGGCAACATTGGTATGTGACTACATTGGTATGTGACCACATTGGTATGGTAACTATATTGGTATGAGACTACATTGGTATGTGGCAACATTGGTATGTGACAACATTGGTATGTGACGTCATTGGTATGTGACAACGTTGTAACAACATTGGTATGTGACTACATTGGTATGTGACAACATTGGTATGTGACTACATTGGTATGTGGCAACATTGGTATATGACAACATTGGTATGTGACGTCATTGGTATGTGACAACATTGTAACAACATTGGTATGTGACTACATTGGTATTTGACACCTACATGTAGACAAGGAAAACAATTAAATCCATATATTGAAAATTTATGAAAGCCTGCAAGAAATACTTCGGGAAAAGTACTTTGTATTTCATAATAACGTAACGTCTTTTTGTTATTAAAACGTTTTATCTTTACATTACAATAATGATTGATTGATTAAAACTCGTTAGTTCCTACTGGATATTTGGCTGTACGTTTCAATGCGTTTTGAATAATTGTTAATCAGAGGTCCAAGCACTTTCATTGTCACCTTAGTCAAATTTGAGGTAACTCAACTAATAAAGAGAACATGTAATAACACTGCATTAATTTACACACCATATGCACACATATATGTAACACTAATCTTAACACAGACCACTATTCAATCTTAACATATATTAAAACAGCTATGTTCATGACTTGTAACAGTTTTTACCAAAGGTCCGTGTGTCATCTACTGGTAAGGAAATCAGCACAAAGCACTCTCATTTATATCGCTTACGTCAAAACGGGAAACCGCGCCTCACATATAGATACAAATGTAGAGGTCATCTTCTGAAAAAAAAAACATTTTGCTCTACCACGTTTGAAAGATGACACTGAGAAATCACGAGTCCGGGCCCCACTCGTGATCATTCACCTGAAGCAATATTTACGTTTATGTTTACATGAATTACGTCAACAAATCAATCATATCATAACAATGAGACACCTTTATGGGAATTATGTTGCCATGTTGGTATTTTATAATGCCATCTGATATCTTACTTTTCATATTGGACATTTAAATGTTTTCAAAATAATTCTAGTTTGAATTACAACATTAAACACTCGTACAGTACAATATTGAAAGTTATCTACCGCATATCATATATTTATACTTCCATTTCTAAATTGATGGGAAAAAGTCGGGGAGGGGAGTAGGGGAATGAAAAATAGAAACTTAAGATCTCTGGAAAAGGGCACACGGAGAACGTGTTCCGGAGGATAAGCGTTTCCAGTGACATCAAAACACCTGACATCATGTTCAGGTTGTAGTATTATACAGAATATAAGATTGAAGTCAAGCTTCATTTGCAAAAACGAGAAATGGTTTTCTTTTTAATTAATAATGATCAGGGTGATCCTTGGCAGCAAAAATTCCCAAAGGTAGGAAATTATCATTATATCAGTATACATAAAGAGAAACAATGTCTTTATTAGGAAATGTTTTATTTTATATACCAGAATATTTGGTCCGAGCTAAAATCAAACATTCCGAAATGTATTATTATTAATTCACGGCGGTTTAAGTCCTTAGTTGAAGAAACGAGAGAAACCTCTCGATCCTGCAGGAACCAACATTGTTATAGTGTGAGTTACTTACTACCGTCATGACATGGAATACAACAGATATCAGGAACACCATCACAACCTGCACAATTAATCACCAATTAGGACTTGAAGTGAGAAACAGCAGGGATATTCTTTCCTCGTCTCCTTCATGGATTACAAGAGAATAAAACACATTTATAATAAATGTTTGTAGAGTATTTTCCGGTGTTGACTTTGGTAGTGAGAAAACCTGTGGGCAATACTTAGTTCCCTTTAGATTTTAATTATCTGAATGGTTTTTCATCCAATTTTCTTTATTTGCCACTTTATACATTTGTTCGCCTTCCATATCGATTTTCGGCATCTATAGTTATTTAGCTTTTTATACAAAGAGATAATCTACAATGCCACTGTGTAATATATACATATGTCTTCTCCACGGTAATCGTTTCACACTTAAAACACATCAAGATAAAAAAGACTGGTAAGATGTTGAAGCAGGTTACACAATAACATACCTCTGTATCCTTGTTAACGTACCTATATATCTATCACATATATACGATAAGACGGTTAGAGATCCGCTAGACAAATAGTAACATCTCATTGACATTTGGTTTGTTTACCTAAATAGTTCCTGAACTGAGAAACCACTGTATTTTCACTTATACAATACTCCCGGGTACCGAAATACGCAGAAATAGATAATCTCCGGGAATCATTGTGAAAGGAATGACATCAAAATAACATATTAAAGATTGACATTTTATTACAAGTTAAATAACGGTGGATCCCTTTACCGACAATAGTTTTCTATCAGGTAAAAGTTCTGCATAATCACAAGCACACTTTGGACGTCAGAGAAATATAGAAATGGAGAAGGTGTTAGATAGCGAAGTCCCAGCGGCTGTACCGAAATGGAAGAAAATTGTGAAGACATCATTTCTTATCTTTACGTGGATTTGTCTGGTAAGGTAAAAAAACGATTTGTATCTTTTAGAAAATTATGTAATGATACTTTGTGTTTATTGTGCTAACTTTTTAAATCATTTCTGATATCCGTGTTTTAACTGACAAGCTCCTGTTCACGTGTCATTTCTTAAATCAACTTACAATTCATGTGATGTACGATGCCATCAGATCAGTTTTATACATTGGTAACTTCAGTATTGCTTATTTTTCACAAACAAAAAAAATCGTTCTCAAAAATTACATTTGTTTATTTTGTTGTTGAAATCATAAATCTTTTAAATCAGTACTTGATATTCGCAGTGAAATATGTGAACCTACATACCGACCATGTATAATTACATACAGATTCGGAGATCCAGTTAACAGAACTACACTCTCACATTTTAATATCATCAACTGAAAAGCATAGAAGTTAGCATCAGAGCCTTGAAACAGACACGCCGGCTGGCTGATGTAGTAGTCATATGTTAACTGAACGTAGGAGAAAAACATTTGATTTTCACGGCTATGTCACATTCTGCTACAGTCTGAACAGAAATTAATCATCGTCAGAGTTTATATGAAAATAACTGACATCTATTGTTGTACATTACATTACACCAATGTATGGAACACAGAAGGGACGTTCTTGTAAATTCTGGTGTCTACTGTGTTAATTTCCTTTTTTTTTTTTTTTTGAAAGAGAGTGACTGTTCTTTAGCCTGGTCATGTCCAAAAACCAGAAATCACCCGACCAAAAAACCCCGTAATTTTATAGTATTATTAATGTAAAGTGTTTCTACTTGCACTGTTTGAAGGCTTACCTTACAATTGTCAAAAGTATTGTCTTTACTGTAGAGTAACATAAAATAACTCAAATTTATCGAAAGTTTGAATGAATTTATTCCAAAGGTTGCAATAGACTTCCGTTAAAGAAATAATAAAAAGTTTTGTGGTGCAATATATACTATAAACGTGGTTATTTTTGTGGCGGGTTAATTTTGCGATGATAATGGGCAAACTGTACGCACGTCGGTTATTTTTGCGAGCAATGTACCTTTGCATGTGCAGTGTATATTTCAATTTTTATGTTATACGTCATACGTATTTTGGCGCGTCTCAATGAAATCCGCGTATTTAATGTACATTTTCCTAATGCATAAATTTCAGCGTTAGCAGTACACTTTATGAATGAACGTCACATTACGTTTAATATTGTTGTGTATGTGTGTTATTCAGGTGTTACATAATTGTATGGTCTTATAGAGATAATCTAACTCCACATGTGTATGAGTTATTCCCCTTCGATGTAAGTCTTTTGATATGGAGAGTTATTATGGAAGATTGTGATAAAACGACCGATACAGCTTTGTTTGTAATTTTGACTCCTAAACTGTATTTTGTGTTAATGCATTTATCAAACCAAACCTGTATTCAAATTTACAACCTGACATAATCCATTGTTATGTGTTTCCTATTGAAACATTATACATGTATCTAATAATGTGTTATCAAAAATGCCGGTATAGAACGAGTAAGGATGATTTCAACATTTATAGAGTAAAATTTACAACAGTCGAGAAACAATCATTTCGTTGGAGCTCATTTGCATATTTAAACATTTTCATCACGAACATATTAAGATGACAATGTGTTTAAGGAGTATATAGTGGAGCATATCAGTATATGGAAATGGGGACGTGTCGCGATGGTCATAGTGATCTTATTGAGAAACATATTTCTTTGTGTGATGTTGACCAGTGTCCTCTAATGTCCTCACCCTCATGTCGATCTGTGTCTCATGTAGTCATCACCCTCAAGTTGACCAGTGTCCTCTAATGTCCTCACCCTCATGTCGACCTGTGTCCCATATAGTCATCACCCTTAGGTGGACAAGTGTCCTCTAATGTCCTCACCCTCATGTCGACCTGTGTCCATATAGTCATCACCTGCAGGTTGACCAGTGTTCTCTAATGTCCTCACCCTCATATCGACCTGTGTCTCATGTAGTCGTCACCCTCAGGTTGACCAGTGTCCTCTAATGTCCTCACCTTCATGTCGATCTGTGTCCCATATAGTCATCACCCTCAGGTTGACCAGTGTCCTCTAATGTCCTCACTCCCATGTCGACCTGTGTCCCATGTAGTCATCAAACTCAGGTAGACCAGTGTCCTCTAATGTCCTCACCTTCATGTCGATCTGTGTCCCATATAGTCATCACCCTCAGGTTGACCAGTGTCCTCTAATGTCCTCACTCTCATGTCGATCTGTGTCTCATGTAGTCATCACCCTCAGGTTGACCAGTGTCCTCTAATGTCCTCACTCTCATGTCGATCTGTGTCCCATATAGTCATCACCCTCAGGTTGACCAGTGTCCTCTAATGTCCTCACTCTCATGTCGACCTGTGTCCCATGTAGTCATCAAACTCAGGTTGACCAGTGTCCTCTAATGTCCTCACCCTCATGTCGACCTGTGTCCCATATAGTCATCACCCTCAGGTTGACCAGTGTCCTCTAATGTCCTCACTCTCATGTCGATCTGTGTCCCATATAGTCATCACCCTCAGGTTGACCAGTGTCCTCTAATGTCCTCACCTTCATGTCGATCTGTGTCCCATATAGTCATCACCCTCAGGTTGACCAGTGTCCTCTAATGTCCTCACTCTCATGTCGACCTGTGTCCCATATAGTCATCACCCTCAGGTTGACCAGTGTCCTCTAATGTCCTCACTCCCATGTCGACTTGTGTCCCATATAGTCATCACCTGTAGAGAGACCAGTGTCCTCTAATGTCCTCACTCTCATGTCGACCTGTGTCCCATATAGTCATCACCCTCAGGTTGACCAGTGTCCTCTAATGTCCTCACCCTCATGTCGATCTGTGTCCCATATAGTCATCACCCTCAGGTTGACCAGTGTCCTCTAATGTCCTCACTCCCATGTCGACCTGTGTCCCATGTAGTCATCAAACTCAGGTAGGCCAGTGTCCTCTAATGTCCTCACCTTCATGTCGACCTGTGTCTCATGTAGTCGTCACCCTCAGGTTGACCAGTGTCCTCAAATGTCCTCACTCTCATGTCTACCTGTGTCCCATATAGTCATCACCCTCAGGTTAATGTCCTCACCTCTCATGTGTCGACCTGTGTCCTCATATAGTCATCTGTGTCCTCATCACCCTCAGGTTGACCAGTGTCCTCTAATGTCCTCACTCCTCATGTCGACCTGTGTCCCATATAGTCATCACCCTCAGGTTGACCAGTGTCCTCTAATGTCCTCACTCTCATGTCGACCTGTGTCTCATGTAGTCGTCACCCTCAGGTTGACCAGTGTCCTCTAATGTTCTCACCCTCATGTCGACCTGTGTTCCATGTAGTCATCACCCTCAGGTTGACCGGTGTCCTCTAATGTCCTCACCCTGATGTCGATATGTGTCCCATATAGTCTTCACCACTCAGAGAGACCAATGTCCTCTAATGTCCTCACTCTCATGTCGACCTGTGTCCCATATAGTCATCACCCTCAGGTTGACCAGTGTCCTCTAATGTCCTCACTCTCATGTCGACCTGTGTCCCATATAGTCATCACCCTCAGGTTGACCAGTGTCCTCTAATGTCCTCACCTCATGTCGATCACCAGGTTGACCAGTGTCCTCTAATGTCCTCACTCTCATGTCGATCTGTGTCCCATGTAGTCATCACCTTCAGGTTGACCAGTGTCCTCAAATGTCCTCACTCTCATGTCGACCTGTGTCCCATATAGTCATCACCCTCAGGTTGACCAGTGTCCTCTAATGTCCTCACTCTCATGTCGACCTGTGTCCCATATAGTCATCACCCTCAGGTTGACCAGTGTCCTCTAATGTCCTCAATGTGTCCTCACCCTCATGTCGACCTGTGTCCCATATAGTCATCACCCTCAGGTTGACCAGTGTCCTCTAATGTCCTCACCCTCATGTCGATCTGTGTCCCATATAGTCATCACCTGCAGAGAGACCAGTGTCCTCTAATGTCCTCACTCTCATGTCGACCTGTGTCTCATGTAGTCGTCACCCTCAGGTTGACCAGTGTCCTCTAATGTTCTCACCCTCATGTCGACCTGTGTTCCATATAGTCATCACCCTCAGGTTGACCAGTGTCCTCTAATGTCCTCACTCTCATGTCGACCTGTGTCTCATGTAGTCGTCACCCTCAGGTTGACCAGTGTCCTCTAATGTCCTCACCTTCATGTCGATCTGTGTCCCATATAGTCATCACCCTCAGGTTGACCAGTGTCCTCTAATGTCCTCACTCTCATGTCGACCTGTGTCCCATATAGTAATCACCCTCAGGTTGACCAGTGTCCTCTAATGTCCTCACTCTCATATCGACCTGTGTCTCATGTAGTCGTCACCCTCAGGTTGACCAGTGTCCTCTAATGTCCTCACTCTCATGTCGATCTGTGTCCCATGTAGTCATCACCCTCAGGTTGACCAGTGTCCTCTAATGTCCTCACCTTCATGTCGACCTTTGTCCCATATAGTCATCACCCTCAGGTTGACCAGTGTCCTCTAATGTCCTCACTCACTCATGTCGACCTGTGTCCCATATAGTCATCACCCTCAGGTTGACCAGTGTCCTCTAATGTCCTCACTCTCATGTCGACCTGTGTCCCATATAGTCATCACCCTCAGGTTGACCAGTGTCCTCTAATGTCCTCACTCTCATGTCGACCTGTGTCCCATATAGTCATCACCCTCAGGTTGACCAGTGTCCTCTAATGTCCTCACCCTCATGTCGACCTGTGTTCCATATAGTCATCACCCTCAGGTTGACCAGTGTCCTCTAATGTCCTCACTCATGTCATGTGTCGATATAGTCCTGTGTCCTCATGTACTCTCATGTCGATCACCCTCAGGTTGACCAGTGTCCTCTAATGTCCTCCTCCAGTGTTCTCTAATGTCCTCACCCTCGTGTCGACCTGTGTCTCATGTAGTCATCACCCTCAGGTTGACCAGTGTCCTCTAATGTCCTCACTCTCATGTCGACCTCTGTCTCATATAGTCATCACCCTCAGGTGTGTCCTCTAATGTCCTCACTCTCATGTCGACCTGTGTCCCATGTAGTCATCAAACTCAGGTAGGCCAGTGTCCTCTAATGTCCTCACCTTCATGTCGACCTGTGTCTCATGTAGTCGTCACCCGCAGGTTAACACGTGTCCTCTAATGTCCTCACCCTCATGTCGACCTGTGTCTCATGTAGTCGTCACCCTCAGGTTGACCAGTGTCCTCACTCTCATGTCGATCTGTCTCCCATATAGTCATCACCCTCAGGTTGACCAGTGTCCTCTAATGTCCTCACTCTCATGTCGACCTGTGTCCCATATAGTCATCACCCTCAGGTTGACCAGTGTCCTCTAATGTCCTCACCCTCATGTCGATCTGTGTCCCATATAGTCATCACCTGCAGAGAGACCAGTGTCCTCTAATGTCCTCACTCTCATGTCGACCTGTGTCTCATGTAGTCATCACCCTCAGGTTGACAAGTGTCCTCTAATGTCCTCACCCTCATGTCGACCTGTGTCTCATGTAGTCGTCACCCTTAGGTTGACTAGTATCCTCTAATGTCCTCGCTCTCATGTCGACCTGTGTCCCATACAGTCATCACTCTCAGGTTGACCAGTGTCCTCTAATGTCCTCACCCTCATGTCGACCTGTGTCTCATGTAGTCGTCACCCTGAGGTTGACCAGTGTCCTCACCCTCATGTCGATCTGTGTCCCATATAGTCATCACCCTCAGGTTGACCAGTGTCCTCTAATGTCCTCACTCTCATGTCGACCTGTGTCCAATATAGTCATCACCCTCAGGTCGACCAGTGTCCTCTAATGTCCTCACTTCCCTGTCGACCTGTGTCCCATGTAGTCATCAAACTCATGTAGACCAGTGTCCTCTAATGTCCTCACTCCCATGTCGACCTGTGTCCGATGTAGTCATCACACTCAGGTAGACCAGTGTCCTCTAATAGCCTCACCTTCATGTCGATCTGTGTCCCATATAGTCATCAACCTCAGGTTGACCAGTGTCCTCTAATGTCCTCACTCTCATGTCGACCTGTGTCTCATGTAGTCGTCACCCTCAGGTTGACCAGTGTCCTCTAATGTTCTCACCCTCATGTTGACCTGTGTTCCATATAGTCATCACCCTCAGGTTGACCAGTGTCCTCTAATGTCCTCACTCCCATGTCGACCTGTGTCCCATATAGTCATCACCCTCAGGTTGACCAGTGTCCTCTAATGTCCTCACCCTCATGTCGATCTGTGTCCCATATAGTCATCACCTGCAGAGAGACCAGTGTCCTCTAATGTCCTCACTCTCATGTCGACCTGTGTCTCATGTAGTCGTCACCCTCAGGTTGACCAGTGTCCTCTAATGTTCTCACCCTCATGTCGACCTGTGTTCCATATAGTCATCACCCTCAGGTTGACCAGTGTCCTCTAATGTCCTCACTCCCATGTCGACCTGTGTCCCATGTAGTCATCAAACTCAGGTTGGCCATTGTCCTCTGATGTCCTCACCTTCATGTCGACCTGTGTCCCATATAGTCATCACCCTCAGGTTGACCAGTGTCCTCTAATGTCCTCACTCTCATGTCGACCTGTGTCTCATGTAGTCGTCACCCTCAGGTTGACCAGTGTCCTCTAATGTCCTCACCCTCATGTCGACCTGTGTCTCATGTAGTCGTCACCCTCAGGTTGACCAGTGTCCTCTAATGTCCTCACCCTCATGTCGACCTGTGTCCATATAGTCATCACCCTCAGGTTGACCAGTGTCCTCTAATGTCCTCACTCTCATGTCGATCTGTGTCCCATGTAGTCGTCACCCTCAGGTTGACCAGTGTCCTCTAATGTCCTCACTCTCATGTCGACCTGTGTCCCATATAGTCATCACCCTCAGGTTGACCAGTGTCCTCTAATGTCCTCACCCTCATGTCGATCTGTGTCCCATATAGTCATCACCCTCAGGTTGACCAGTGTCCTCTAATGTCCTCACTCTCATGTCGACCTGTGTCTCATGTAGTCATCACCCTCAGGTTGACCAGTGTCCTCTAATGTCCTCACCCTCATGTCGACCTGTGTCCCATATAGTCATCACCCTCAGGTTGACCAGTGTCCTCTAATGTCCTCACTCTCATGTCGACCTGTGTCTCATGTAGTCATCACCCTCAGGTTGACCAGTGTCCTCTAATGTCCTCACCTTCATGTCGACCTGTGTCTCATGTAGTCGTCACCCTCAGGTTGACCAGTGTCCTCTAATGTCCTCACTCTCATGTCGACCTGTGTCCCATGTAGTCATCACCCTCAGGTTGACCAGTGTCCTCTAATGTCCTCACTCTCATGTCGACCTGTGTCCCATATAGTCATCACCCTCAGGTTGACCAGTGTCCTCTAATGTCCTCACCCTCATGTCGATCTGTGTCCCATATAGTCATCACCCTCAGGTTGACCAGTGTCCTCTAATGTCCTCACTCTCATGTCGACCTGTGTCTCATGTAGTCATCACCCTCAGGTTGACCAGTGTCCTCTAATGTCCTCACCCTCATGTCGACCTGTGTCCCATATAGTCATCACCCTTAGGTGGACAAGTGTCCTCTAATGTCCTTACTCTCATGTCGACCTGTGTCCATATAGTCATCACCTGCAGGTTGACCAGTGTCCTCTAATGTCCTCACCCTCATGTCGATCTGTGTCCCATATAGTCATCACCCTCAGGTTGACCAGTGTCCTCTAATGTCCTCACTCTCATGTCGACCTGTGTCTCATGTAGTCATCACCCTCAGGTTGACCAGTGTCCTCACCCTCATTTCGATCTGTGTCCCATATAGTCATCACCCTCAGGTTGACCAGTGTCCTCTAATGTCCTCACTCCCATGTCGACCTGTGTCCCATGTAGTCATCAAACTCAGGTAGACCAGTGTCCTCTAATAGTCTCACCTTCATGTCGATCAGTGTCCCATATAGTCATCACCCTCAGGTTGACCAGTGTCCTCACCCTCATGTCGATCTGTCTCCCATATAGTCATCAACCTCAGGTTGACCAGTGTCCTCTAATGTCCTCACTCTCATGTCGACCTGTGTCCCATATAGTCATCACCCTCAGGTTGACCAGTGTCCTCTAATGTCCTCACTCTCATGTCGATCTGTGTCCCATGTAGTCATCACCTTCAGGTTGACCAGTGTCCTCAAATGTCCTCACTCTCATGTCGACCTGTGTCCATATAATCATCACCCTCAGGTTGACCAGTGTCCTCTAATGTCCTCACCCTCATGTCGATCTGTGTCCCATATAGTCATCACCCTCAGGTTGACCAGTGTCCTCTCATGTCCTCACTCTCATGTCGACCTTTGTCTCATGTAGTCATCAAACTCATGTAGACCAGTGTCCTCTAATGTCCTCACTCTCATGTCCATCTGTGTCCCATATAGTAATCACCCTCAGGTTGACCAGTGTCCTCTAATGTGTCCTCACCTCACCCATGTCGACCTGTGTCCCATATAGTCATCACCCTCAGGTTGACCAGTGTCCTCTAATGTCCTCACTCTCATCATGTCGACCTGTGTCCCATGTAGTCATCACCCTCAGGTTGACCAGTGTCCTCTAATGTCCTCACTCTCATGTCGACCTGTGTCCCATATAGTCATCACCCTCAGGTTGACCAGTGTCCTCTAATGTCCTCACTCTCATGTCGAGCTGTGTCTCCTCTATGTCCTCACTCTCATGTCGACCTGTGTCCATATAGTCATCAACCTCAGGTTGACCAGTGTCCTCTAATGTCCTCACTCTCATGTCGACCTGTTTCCTATATAGTCATCACCCTCAGGTTGACCAGTGGCCTCTAATGTCCTCACTCACATGTCGACCTGTGTCCCATATAGTCATCACCCTCAGGTTGACCAGTGTCCTCTAATGTCCTCACCCTCATGTCGACCTGTGTCCCATATAGTCATCACCCTCAGATTGACCAGTGTCCTCTAATGTCCTCACCCTCATGTCCACCTGTGTCTCATGTAGTCATCACCCTCAGGTTGACCAGTGGCCTCTAATGTCCTCACTCACATGTCGACCTGTGTCCCATATAGTCATCACCCTCAGATTGACCAGTGTCCTCTAATGTCCTCACCCTCATGTCCACCTGTGTCTCATGTAGTCATCACCCTCAGGTTGACCAGTGTCCTCTAATGTCCTCACTCTCATGTCGACCTGTGTCCCATATAGTCATCACCCTCAGGTTGACCAGTGTCCTCTAATGTCCTCACTCTCATGTCGACCTGTGTCCCATATAGTCATCACCCTCTGTGTCCCATATAGTCATCACCCTCAGGTTGACCAGTGTCCTCTAATGTCCTCACTCTCATGTCGACCTGTGTCCCATATAGTCATCACCCTCAGGTTGACCAGTGTCCTCTAATGTCCTCACTCTCATGTCGATCTGTGTCCCATATAGTCATCACCCTCAGGTTGACCAGTGTCCTCTAATGTCCTCACCCTCATGTCGATCTGTAGTCCAATATGTCCCATATAGTCATCACCCTCAGGTTGACCAGTGTCCTCTAATGTCCTCACTCCCATGTCGACCTGTGTCCCATGTAGTCATCAAACTGCAGAGAGACCAGTGTCCTCTAATGTTGTCAAATGACGGGAAAACTTGTTAAACAGAGTTTTACTGTCTTGATAGTGATTTCATTACAACTATTATATTTCTTTGCACGATCTGGACGTGTTTTATGCTTGTTATTTTGCCTGTCGGTTCCGTTGTTTTATACCTCGTTCTCGTTTGAGATCGTAATATTACTTACTTGGTTTGACTAAGGAGCGGTACTCACTTACTCTTCCAGAACACCTGTCCTTATTCTCCTTGTACTTTTCAGGAGTCTCCATGTAAATTCTGTTAGTTTTTGTCCTAGTTTTATTGAATTTGAGTTTTGATTATGATTGTGTTGACATGCTTGTATTTTCTTTTGCCAGGGTTTGACTTTAGAGATAACTGGACCCACCCTGAAGGACCTAAGGCTGAAGACAGATGGTAGTTATGAGGATGTGAGCAGGGCTATATCCGGGCGCAGTGTAGGATTCTTTATTGGGGCAGCCATCGGAGGGGTCCTGGTAGACAAGCTACATCCATTTTGTAATCTCATGATTGCAATCTGTCTAGACGGTATAGCTGTAGTAACAACAATAGCCCCAAACATGACCAGTGTCAACGTTGTTTGGGCCCTTTTTGTTCTGGCTGGGACGTTTGAAGGCGTTATCAATATCTGTAAGTACAAAAATATTCTGAGAACTGCAAAACAGGACTCGTCATGGTTAGTGTGTACTGCGACAATCATTAACATGTAATGATTTTATCTATAGTGAGAATATTTCCCATTACAGTGTAAGTGACAAATCCTTCTGTAATCTTAGTATCTTCTATTGGTAGTTGTGTGATATAACGCTTTTAAACAGGCGAATAGTACACTGTTCATTTTGTGGAATTTTTAGTTTCGGAAACACATTATTTGACTCAAAAAAGAGAGACGCGTTTATCACGGACGTAATTTTAGCTGAAAAGAAATGTTTTATCAACGATTGATAAAAATACACTTGATCATACGTTAGGGACCATCGAGGTCAGTATAAAGAATTTAATCAAAACGGATTTGTAAAAAGAAATCTAGTCGTACCCCTTGCAGTGCCCCTTTGTGTGCTTGGTGCGTGTGCCACCACGTCATACACCCAACTTCACGATAACCCGGATTAAACCGGGGTACCCCGTACTCTTAACAAAAAACGTCTTTGCTTTACCACATAATGTAGCTTTGCACGTGCGTTACTAGTAATTCATAACGTGCTCATACTGTGTTTGCAAAGGGCACATCGCAAATTGACAAATGCTAAAAGATGGTAAGCGTCTGGAATAGTTCAATATAGTAGGACATACAGACAAGTGGATGCACGTTTTTTTTTAAATATCATCCATTCTGTTATTTCTCGGTTTCTGTAACGTCTTAACAAAAAACTGGGCATATGACAAAGGTTTCCTTTCAGAGCAATCGTCGGTATACGGTAAATGAAATGAATAAAACGGGAACAAGAAACGCACCAGAAGGTTGGTGACTATACCCGATTTAGACATTTTCATACATAAATAGAACTCGCTGTTTATCTTTTCTATCAAATAACATGCTTTGGTGATTTGATGACGTGTCAGTTAAAGCGACACAGTTAAACCCAAACTTTTTCTAGACTTTGTAAATGCGTTTTCGTGCTCATATTTTCAAAAATGATACGTCACATGTGTGAAGTTCTTTTCCTCTTGACAGAATAGTTTTGTTAGAAACATTCCTATCTGTCCTGTAGAGTTATTTAATATTTGTATTAAGTGAAAAAATAAGTCGAATCTCCAAGACATGGATGGTCCTCAGCTTATAGCAAAGTGGACATTATCACCGAGATATTATTGGTACATGGAATCTCATGAAAAAATATTACCAAACATTCAAGAACTGTTTGGTTATACGTTGAGGAGTTTAGTGTAAGAAATGATGCATTCATAACGGCTGTTTTCCTGTTCATTCCTATCTTTGCATATTACCAAAATTAATATTTTTTTATTTTTTGTTGTAGCGGGACAAAAGTTGATATTAGACATGTGGCTGGACAAAGCATCTTCACCAATGCACGCTCTTCACTTGGGTTTTGGTATCGGGTCGTTCATCGTACCGGAAATAGCGAATCCTTTCCTTGCTGAGCCTGCGCCAACACTGAGCTCATCCGGTGTGAACACAACGACAAATAGGACTTATAATTTTATTAGTTCTATGTCATCCCGTCCGACAACATTCCATCCGACACCTACTTCCAAACCACTTTCAACAACGATAGAATATGTGAAGGGTTCTAGGATCGAATGGGCGTATCTGATAGTTTCTATCATAACCGCAGTGACATCTCTTGTGTTTTATTTTTATCAGTATAATGATCGTAAGACAAAAACTAATTCAACCAAAAATGATGACACAAACATGTCAGAAAAACGTCCCGGAAACCATGTAGTTAGCCAACAAAATCGATTTGTCAATACATTGAAATCCTTTGTAAAGATAGCAAACCCCGGGAGTTGTACTGGTGGGAGAAAAATGTATGGAGTCGTTATTTTTATGTTCCTATTTTTGTACTTCTTTACAGTAGTAGGTGGAGAAAGAATATACGGGAAATTCCTACGAACCTATGCCATTGATGAGCTGAATTTTAATGGTGATGACGCTACACTTTTAAACACGGCTTTTTGGATAAGTTTTTCAGGGGGTAGGTTTGCTGGCTTTGTTACAGCCAGATGGATCCCCATTCGTACTTTGATGATCATTGAAGCGTGTGGTTGTCTCGTTTCAGCTGCCATTTTGAATTTTTTTGCTTACAATAATTCAACTCTGCTCTGGGTGTTTTCAATGCCGATGGGATTCTTCATCGCACCATTGTTTCCCACGGGTATCGCTTGGGGTGACTTTCATGTGGAAATGACTGGAATGGCCATCACGTTTTGTCTGCTAGGGGGCGCCCTTGGAGGGATGTCATATATGTGGGTGATAGGATACCTGTATGACAACTATGGCTACCGCACGTTTCTGTACCTTACCGGTGGATTTGGGGGATTCATTGTTCTTTTCGCTTTCATTCTTTTGTTTATAGGATGTGGACAAGGAAACAGATTTGAGAAAAAGGAGGAAGATTCTGAAAATGAAGTTGAAAATACTAAAATATAGAGTTAGACTTACATTCATTCTTTTATTGATAAATAAATGATAGATATGATAAATAAGTATACCGATATTCTGTTACAGCCAGTAATATATCTAATCGGATTGTTAACTACAGCCATTTTCGTCCTTTTAGGGTTCAGCCAAAAATCATAATGCTTAGAATTAATGATACAGGAACCGTTTTTACCTTCCAAGCACCAATGGCTTTGTATTTTGAACATCAGTCGTTAAATATTTTTAAAATGTTGACAACCAGCTTTTACTTATCACGACTTTGTCTTCGTTCGATAAAACAAGAAAATAAAGATGTACCAACACGTGCTGAAGTGATATCCAGACTCAATAATTTCTTGATGATACATAATTGGATTCTCTCTTTACATGTTACAATTGAGCCTATATCCCCTAGTAGCTTCATCCTCGGTGCCGTGCACATCTGTCGGGTCGCTGTGGCAGAGTAGCGTCTGACCATCTTGGTGACGGTTCGAACCAATTTAGGGCAGCCAACAGGCCTGAGGGAGGGGAGTTTTCTCTGGAGACTCTATGATTCCCTTACCACCCAAACATTGCACGTCCTTTATGACCCTGGCTTTTTAAAGGACGTTAGGTATATTAATATTTATGTCGCCTGATAATGGCTGGAAACAACACAGGTTCACTGTATTTACTTCTACTGTACACGATGTGGGTTGTCACGTCACTAGTGTTCGATAGTGATCGTACATGATTGACATGTCGTTAATGAAACAGGATAACCCGTCTGGAAAACAAGCTTTTCCTGTCCCTATACCTATTTCACATAATTATCTCTATATTAAACGTTGTATTTGATTGGTCTATCACGAATTAGGAATTTGCATTCGAACTTACATGTACTTCAAAATCCACAAATGTTTCATTTCGTGATTCAGCTGTACCTACAGATCAAATGACTTGCCATACAATGTGATTTTCTTTCATTCCTGTGATATTCATGAATCACATTTATCCTATTATCCTCCTCTTATACAACGTATCCACATATATATATAATGTATCACTAGCGGAATATACTCAGGAGCGTTTTTCATTGGTTGTCAGAGATCGATGATGATGTTACAATATGTAGGACAGCATTATACCCTGAATTAGCTACGGGACAGCAAAATGGCTGTCTCCGTTTGATTATTTCCTCCACATATTTTGTGATAAAACATATCTGAAATAAGGTGAAGGTTCACAAAAAAGGAAAATAAAAAATTTCATATGAAATGAAAATACTGTATATGTATAACGAAGATGTGTCCATGTTCGTGTCATTAATTGTACCATCGAGGAAAACTGTAAATATTATATCAAAGTGATACCTGAAGGAATAAAAAACAAAAAGTGATAAAAACGTTCAATGTGTTCCTAGTATTTCATCCAATGTTGATGATTTGCTCTAACTTGAGATGTGGCACGATTCACATTTACTTAACGTTCTTTTTAAAAATCATTGGATATATGAACGTTACAAAAGTTTTAAGTTTCTTTCGATCAATTTTTAATTTTCCTCAGTCACCTCCTCAGTTTCGAAACTTCGGCTCGTAGCATCACTGACGAGACTTTGTCAAAACCAGAATCAATTCTCTTCATTCAGTTGTTTTCCGGACCAGCTTAAATATAGACTTTATAAATATATCCACAATTAAAAAAAAAGTAAAAAACCGTTTTGTTCCCACAAGTACAGTCAAAGGGAAACAATCCTATGTTTGCCACACACTCTTTATACAGAACAAATATACATGTTTCTTGTTGTTATGTTAAACTGTCATGCCGATAGTGTTGGATGTCGAAAATACGACTCAATGCTGATTTGGGAAACTGAGCATAAATATGTGAATAAACCTAATATACACAACTTTCACTTAAATGAAGAGAAAATGTAATCCATTTATATCGATAAAATATAAATTAACTTATCTTAAACATTACTAAAGACGACAGCACGATTCGGTATTTATAGAAATGCTGTTAATATTCCTTTTTTGGAGTTGGAAAATCTCTGACATTTCTGTGACAGTTCGGTATTGACTACATAAATGTTTACACAATACTCAGACGGCGAGTCCTCAAAGGACTCTCGACATCGCACTTAATCTGTGATTTGAATATTCAGAATAGTCAAGTTGGTTTTATTCTTTTTGTTTTGATTTTTAATTTTCCGTATTGGTTTGTATTTTCTGATTATCGTAAATTTGCAAAGTGGTGCGTATATTGGGGCTTTACGTGTAAATGTTAGAGAAATTGCACTCTCAATAGTACTCGTTTTGGCTATCTAAGTTGGATGAAAAGGAAAAGATTGTCACATGTAAGAATATGTCCAGTATCGGTTTCCCAATAAAAATGAAATAATGAAAATAATTCAAATTGATATCTTGATTTCTTTACTCGAGTTCTGAGTTATATTAAAATCGAAAATGTCCTACGGTTTGACACACTCAGAGTGAAGTGGCATTATATATTGTAAATGCAACTTCTATCAAGGTAGAATAGAGAGTCATTTGTCCATTAGTTTCATGAAAACTATTCTGCTTTTTTAACAGACACGTTTACAAAGTTGTGAAGAAATTTTGTTATATTAAAGTTTTTAGTATAATCCATTATTGTCCGCTATTCATGTCTCATGGTAGATTCTGGCAGTACAAACACAGCTATCCGAGATTTTTACAAATAACTAGAGGCCTAAAAATATTAATAAGTTCAAATAGGTATCCAAAAACAAACAGCCACTCTTAAGCAAGCATATATCGTAAAACTAATTCTTTAAACTGTCGGTAAATAAGAAAAAAATGACACTAAATTATCATTAATATTCATTTGTGAACTTTTTATAATCTGATAACCATTGGCCATCCTTTACAAAGGATACGATACATAATTCACAATCTCCTCCAAAAACGTTAATTACAGCTATTCGCTTTCGATATCATTTAAATGCATCAAATGAGACATCTTATGACATTGATAAACTATTCCTCAAACATACATATTCTGTAAAATGAAATTCAAAGGTCGTTTTTGGAAACTGAGTAATAATGATACTGACCATTTCCTTGGAAATGAAGTTAAGTTGCAACATTTCCTATAACAAACCTAAATGTACATGGTTTCATAAATCAAGACAACTTCGATGAAAATAAAGCAGAATATGATCGACAGAAAAATTGACACAGAAACTTCTAAAAATGTACAGAGGAGACCAGGAGGTCTAGAAGATACCTCGACTCATGCACTATACACACGACCAGCACCTCATTTACCTAGTATTCACATACCACGAATGAGGAATGTCAGAAAGGAACCGATGCCCAGCTCTATTACATGTATCATTATATCGTTCTTTCCATTTCCCTTGTTTGTTTGACTTATCCGCGGGAGCTGTGACACAGTTAGTCATGTAGTTAGATGGGAATGAAATGCAATGCAGAGGGAACATACAATTATATATCATACCGTTTGTAAATATTGTCAGGGGGTTTTCATGGTTAAAACTCAACATCGATGTAGTATTAGATGCTCATCGATAATATGGCTTTGCAATTCGGGAGCCATTAATATCTGTGTTTTGATATAATATTGACAGAAGGATAAAGGTTTTGTTCTAAAAAAATATGAATATGAATTTGAAAGTGTTATGGAAAATAGATCCCTTGTTATTGATATCGATCTAAGGATGAAGACTTCTATTTTATCACATAGAATTATCAACTGAATGAATTTCACACTTTAAATACTTGTATATAGCACAAAATCGAGTAAAACAACAACATTTAATAGTGAGTTATCTTCAGGAACTGCAGCTTACTTACCTTGTACTGGCGTGACACTAAGGCTCAGCAGACGAACGCACACGAACAATTGTGATTACGAGCTTGTTGTTCATATCTATGAGCGATTTAGTAGACAATTATGACTGTTGGTGAGGCGCTAGGTATTTATACCGTAAACGGTTATATTAACTTGTGCTTTAAACCGGATCTTGTGGTGACAAATATGTAATGCACGCCTTAACACACAGGTCAATGATAAGGTTATATTTCTTTGTTGGAAACAAACCAACATCTCCTAGAAATGTTATTTTGAGATTGTATCGAGATATAATCAACTAAAATAGTGACGTCTGCATGTTTCTTGTAATTTAAAGACCAGATCAGATCCAGTCGAAATGTTATGAACTTTTCAAGCTTTCCGAAACATGTCGTGTGAAAATAAATATCAGCATTTCTAATGGTGATATATGGCAATATCTATATGATGAAAATCATATATAGGTCAGCAAGTCCTTAAACCGCATTTAATGCCGAATCTCGAAGTAGTGCAAAGGTGATGTTATAACATCAAATAATTCTCTAAACTCTATTGAAAAAATTGTTTAAAAAGATAAAGCGGTGCCAATAAACGCCAAACATAACCGGAACATGGCATCTGGCACCAATGTATTCTAGCCCATTACTAACATCATTGTACAAAAGACACACAAGTGAATATGTAAACATGCACGCATCCGTAATAACAGTTAATTCATTTTTTCTCTTATATTTCTGATTTATTACCAAGTTCATTACCATTTTCAATATTATTATTTTCAATTTATACTGTGTCTTCATTATGATAGCTGTTTTATTTCATGATCGAGATCGGAAAGTGACCTCTTTATTTTTGAAGAAAAAGAAAAAAAACGCATCATTGAAAGAAACATTTTCTTTAGATAGAATTGTACGGTTTGTTAATGGGAGTAGCAGAATGTGACAAACTTGACAGAGGAGGCTATGTAGGTATGTATTTATTCACCATGGGTTCACCTTTAGTTAGAATTAGTATCTGTAATCGGTTAAATATCTAGGTCATGGTAAAGTGTCCTTTTTGTTCATCACAGTAGATATATGGGACGTTGCACTACTAACCACAGAGACAGTAAACCTCTCGTATAATTGATCACATAATGCTAACCTTGTACCAAACGTACTTTTTATAGTGCT